CCGTGTCCCCTGCAGCACTGAAGGGACTGCAGCACCCTGGCTGCTCAGCGCTGGAAACGCCAGGATGGCTGATGGTGAAGGCGAGGAATGGGCCCAGACGGAGCTCGAGGGGCATTTCTCTTCCATTATTTCCTCAGAAGTCTGGTTTTGACAGCGAAGGACAGAAAGGTCTGCCAGAAGCTGGCAGCAGATTCTCCCGATACTCTCTTCTAGCCCTGTGTTTTAAAATATATATATAGTTAATTAATTTCAAGGTTTGTATCATACACACACACACGCGCACCCACACAGGATGTGCCAAAAAATGTATACACATTTTGAATAATTAATTCCAATGAGTTAAATCTGCAAAGAAAGAAACATCAGTTGGCCTATGAGCTGTTAAAGTGTGTATACATTTTGAGGGAACCCTGTGTATACCAAATACATATAAGTTAGGTGGGTCATAAAGCAAAAGTAGAACTTCAATTTCAACATAAACAGAACAGCTATGTTCATATCCATTCATGCCAGGGGTATTTCTCAAATTTCTATCCTCAGTAACAGTCATTAGGTTCCATACCACCTCTCAGAAAAAGACAGTGTGTTTCAGCTTTATAGACTTAGGTTCATCCTGAAGTTCCTGCCAGGGTTCTTCTCATCCTAGTCAGTATTTTAATGCAATGACAAGTATATGAAGATGGTTTTTAATGTAATGAGACAAAGAATAATTCTTTGAAAAGTAACTGAAAACAGAAGACCAATAACTTTGTCAGTATTTGTTCACTGTTTTTAGACAAAGAAGAGTAAAAATGTTCCTGATCATAGACCTCTGAGTTAAATATATTTTTACAGTTTTCCCCCCTTTACTTATGAAGCGATGAATAAATCAGTATGTCAGGAATCTGGGCGCGTACAGGTTTCTGTGCAATCACCAATGTCTGCAAACATCAGTACGTTTGGCAGTTCAGGCTTCCAGGAGTGTGCCGCTTTACTCCGGAGAATATGTTTTATCTTTAGTGGCTAATACATTTCAAGGTCCCCTAGACAATGATAATTAAAATAAATTGTTTCTCACTTATCTGAAGTATTTTAATCATCACCAAAGTGTGCTTTCCCACCTTTTAATTATATTTAGTACTTTTTTCTGAGTAGGGTACCTATAAAAACCATCTTCTCTAATAAATACCCATGTCTCCCAGAAGAAATGTTTGACGAAATGATTTCTTGTCTACTTTTACAATCTAAATAAATTTACATGAGGAAAGTTGTTCCAGTTCAAATATGAAGAAGACTGTTCTTAATCCCAATAAAATGGATAAAGAAATTCAAAATGGATTAAACATATATTAGCACTAAGTAGAAAAGAGGAGACAGCAGAGATTCTGACTAGTTTTTGGAAGATGGAAAAGGAATGGCACTGTGCTGAAGAGAGAGACAGGAAGAGTCCGAGATGCAAACAGGACAGTAATTCCAGCCCCCTCCCCTACAAGGTCTTTAAAGATGAAGTGGGTTGATTGTATTTCTACAAATAGTATAATGTAGAAATAAGAAGACATTAGAGAAGGTGAAGGCCTTCTTTCAACAATGAAAAGGGATGCTGATTAGAAATTTCTAGGAAACCAAATGTTGTACAAAGAAAGTCCCAGTCCCAGTATGAAACAAGTCAGAATATGATATGGATTTGGACCATGGATGGAATGTAAGAGAAGAAAATCAATTTGACCTTGATGCTTGGAACGTTCTTCTGCAAGTGGCTCAAGTTTTGTAAAATAGGATTATATCTTTCTCCACAGTTCCATGCTTACCACTTGGTTCTGCAGTAAATAATGTTTAGAAAATCATTACCAGGATACAGGATACTAGGTTGGAAATTTTATTGGAGGCATCAAGATAGGATAGGTATCAGGTATTAAAGCAGGGTAGATGCTCTGCAGAAGTTTCACACTAGGTAGCCAAGAGCCAGTCCAATGACTCACCTGACTCCACACTGGAAAATCTGTATCACAAAGACCGATGGGCCAGCTACTTTGCTTGTGAGCAAAGAGCTTGCAATTAGATTGGGATCAGACCACCCTGTCAGAGTTTGTCTGCATAAAGGAAAGGTGAAAGGGCCTCTAGCCAGTTTTGAGTCTAATAAGAGGCAGAGTGAGCCCACCTGGAGGTATTTAAAATCAGGCCCACGAGAATCACCAGGAAGGACAACGTGATCGCCCAAATAGGATATATCTGGAGTGACCTGCTGAAAAGGCCGGGATCTGAGGGGAAGCTGCAGACAGAGAGAATTACAGGCAAAGGTTCCCAGTGGGAGCCTCTGAGGATCCATGACTGTGCCCAGGAAGCTCTGGCAGGCCCGGAGCATGTGGCCTTCCTACTAAGGTGCCAGTCAAGTAACACCAGTTACCCCTCTTTCTGTCCTTTCTCCTCTCAGAATCTGAAGGAGTCAGAAACCATGGTTAGCAAGTAGGGAAGGGGGTGGGGGGGAGCTGGAAGCATAAAGCCAAGAAAGAGAAGAATCGTCTTCTGGAACAAAGGGGAGGTTTTACGTTGGAAACATGTTCCAAGTTTTGATTTCACGTGGAACTGAACACTTCACGATGGAATTGGCACTGTGTTGGCTAAGTCATGTGGTCGTGGGGCTTTCTATTGCCTTCAGGCGAACTACCCAAAGAAATCCCGGAGCATGTCACTATTTTCAAACAGGGACAGAGGAGAGAAGTCACCCATTGAACAGGCTTGAAGAGAGGGAGGGAGACAAAAATAAAGTTGTGTTCTGATTTGTATTTTATGCGCCCTGCTTGTTTAATATGACAATTATAATAACATAAATGTTATTTACTAGCTTTACATTTTAATAATAAGCCTACAGACAAATCTTGGGAGACTTAACTGTAATTACAGAGCAGAACACAATGGTGGTAAATCTTGATGATCTAAAAGCAGTGGCATAACTCAAAGAAGCCAAGAAGTAGCTGAGGGAGAAAGAGCAGAGGGAAGAGGGAGGGGTCTACTCTTATTTTACAACGAGTGCCCCATAGTGATAGAGACCTAAGTGGTTAAATGTGAAATTCAAACTTATGAAGACAACCAACAGAAGAATTAAAAATGCAGTAAGTCAAATTGGGAAAAGGAGAATAGAGAAAAGGGGAAGATTATGGGATTTAAATTTCTCGGCTTTCATGAAGGGTTATTACCACTGAAAATCGATAGAACAAGAAACAGAGGTACAGGACTTTAAAACACGAGTGGCGAACAGGGTCTCTCTGGGAATGGGGCTGGAGTCAGGAGGGGAACAACTTTTATTTTTCATTTTATACAATTCTATCCTTTCTGAATTTTTATTATGATAGGCATGCACAGTACTTACAGTAATAAATAAAATGAGATTTGAGAAAAAGTGTTATTAATGTAAAAATTCCTACCTGGCTCTAACCCAGGGTTTGGTGTGCATGTTGAGCCCACTTCCCCAGCTGCCACGTTTTGCTGAAGCTGGTGGCAAAAAGCCCCTTTCTGGGGCCAGCTCCTCTGCAATCGCCCTGATGTGGTAGGGCTCGAATCCACAGCACCCGCCTATGTACCTGACCCCCAGGTTGTAGGCGTCTCTGGTGTATTTTTGAATATCCCATCTGGTTGCAACTCTGGGTTCCAGTTCTGTAATACAGTAGTTAAAAGCATTCCTGTTACCATCTCCATTTTCAGACAATAGATGCTCTGATGAGCTCTTTTTTAAATAAAAAACCTACAAATTTTAGATTATGCATTCTTCAGATAGCTCATTTTTGGTTAATATTGAATGGTTTTGTAGAGTCTTGAATTGTAAGACTGCACTATAGTTGCTCATTGCACCTGTTCCCATTTTGTCACAACCAGAAATCATAAGGACCCCCAACAGGTGCCTGAGCTTACCAAAGGGATATTCTGGGAGATCCTTTGCCACAGTCAGGTGTGTGGAAGCCCAGGGACTGCACCATGAGGTGCGCCTTCAGTCCTGCAGCCGCAGGCTTTCCTTCATGAGCTTCATTGTCTTCAAGCTGATCCCTGGCCCAAATCGGCACTTCACTCCAACGATGGAAGCCCCTATGCAAAGATATACAAAACTTTTACATTTTATTTTATTTTTCATTTTTATTTTATTTTTAATAGTTAGAAGGTGCTTTAGAGGTGACTATTCCCCTCTACCTCCCAAGTTTTACAGATGAGGAAACCAAGTCTAGTTCAGTCTTTTATTTCTGAACTGCTCTGACAATATTAAACAAATTTTGCTAAATTTCATAAACAACAGCTAAGCTCCTTATCACACTATGAGTCAAAATTACCTGCTTTCACCAGCTTCACAGCACATTCTCTGGGTGTTAGGTCATGCATGTCTCCCTCTGGGTGATGCACACAGTAGCTGCCACGGGCTTACTGGATTCTTTTAAGACTTCCACAGCCCACACAGCTTCTTGAGCACAGTGAAAATACTAAGAGAAATTTCATTGGTGCAAATGTAAAGCAGATTTTGAGTGGTAGAATGCAAATGTTGCAAAACAGTTGTTATAAAAATAACTAAGTATATAATATGTAATAAAACTTGCTAAGGAATGTGTCTCTATCGGACTGACTAAAGAATACCTTTCTAAGTAGATATCTTAATTCCTTTAACAATACAGGGTGCAGCAAAAGTAGGTTTACGGTTTTTTGTATGGAAAATAATGCAATAATTAATAATAATAATGAAATAAAAAACTTCATTTCACGTACTCACAATTGTAAACCTACTTTTGCCACAACCTGTATATAGATTTTCATTCATATATCATCTGAAAAACACAAAGTTTTTTAAAGTAATTGAGTATTTAAAATCATAATTTTAAAAGAGCAAAAGCTTATAAATTTGGGGCTCATCTTTTATGGAACTGGGGTAATAATGAATAGTTTGGTATACTTTATACTACTTCAAAGTGCTTTTATATTCACTTCTAGTTAGATATTCATAAGTGTTCCATAAAGTAGGAATGGAAATATGACATTTCCCCAGATGAGAGCACTGAGGCACAGAGTGGGGAGGGATAGCTACTGAGTTTCTTTGTGAATGGTGGACAGGACACCTTGTCTGCTTAAATTTATGACCTTTGCAGGGGTGCTTCTCAGGAGCCTCCTTAAGGGCCACAGTTGAAAAGCTGAACTTAAGGGAAGGAAAGCTAGCAGAGCCTCCCTGCTTCCTCCTTCTCGACTCAGAATCAGGTTCTGCAGAAGCAGTGTCTGAGGATGACAGAGGGAGTCAAAAGAGAGGTTCTTAAAAACCAGGCTGGTGTGCCCGTCAGCTGGAGAACATACCGGGTGGAGTCTGTGCGCCGCTCTGCTAACGACCGTTCCCAGGTGGGTCGGCAGCAGGTGGCCCTGAGCCTTGGGAAGGCTGAAGAACCAAGGTTTTCAACAGGGTCAGAAGAGTGACTGGGGCGATAGCGGCTGGTAGGCCGTTGTCCTTGCTGAGGTCAAGGCTCGGGCTGAGGACTTGACTCCGGCAGTTGTAACGGGAAATGATGGATGAGGGGTTTTAATCTTTGGGAGAGGAAGGAAGAAAATGTTTTGGGTCTTCGTGTTCAGTCAATAACCAGTTCTTACTGTTTCTTTCTTCAAAACATTGCTCCCATGTTACAGTTTGAATGAAAACACAGAGGCAAGAGTGAGCACGGATGGAGGAGGGCAGGGGAACGGCCTGGTCCCGGGGATTAGCGGTGGGGCCCGGAGGAGCCGGCACCGCCACCTACCCCAAGGCTTTGCCCCCTCATGGCCTCTAGCCCCACACACAGTTCCTTCTAGCCCTGCCCCCCCTTTGGGGAAGGATACTCCCTGAATCGCTTTCCCTTTCTCTGACCCACGTTGCAGTGTCCCCGAGAGCCGGCCGCTGCAACCACCCTGACCTAGAAAACCAAAGGCTACAGGTGGGCCTCTCCTGGGTCTGTCCTTTGGCTTCACAGAGAACACAGCATACGAGTGAGAGGCTGTTGACTATAGCGCATTTAAATAAACCTTTGACCATCGGAGGAAACAAGGGCATAAGGCAATCCAATACCCTCATGGAAGTTGAAGACTGTTCATTTATACTTGTCAATAGGTTTAACACTCTCCCTGTGGCACCAGGCTTACCTCTGCAATCAAGAAGTCCACATTTTTCCTGGCAAAACCTCTAGCTGTAGTTGAAAAAGTTTTTTAACTCTTGCTTCATCCTTGTGGTGTTTATATATTGACGTCTGGCAGACCCCTGCTGCTACTAAGCATCACCTTTGCCAGCCACTTCTCTGGCGAGGTCACACGCAGCTGCGTTTACATCTTCCCACTGGGGTTAGAGAGCAAGAATTAAAATGGGAAGCCTGGCCTTTTAAAGGTGTCATATAGTCAATAGCAAAGGGGGAAATGAGCGAGTAAGATGAGAGAAGCCGCAGGTTTTCACTGCAGTTCAAGAAGACCAGCGGAGTTGGCCACCATCTCTACTACCAGGGAGCTTGTATTTCCATTATTGTACTTACAACGTTGGATTTTAGCATATTTGTTTGCCTCCCACAGTGGACTGTGAGCCACTGCAGAATAGGCTCTATGCCTTTGCCCGCCCTTTGTATCTGGCACAGGGGATGCACTGTAACGGGCGTTCAATAAGTGCTGGTTGGTTGCGCATCAACATCCGTAAGTGTTAACGCTTTACATGTGCAGAATATCTCACAATACTTCCACACCCTTCACCATATTCACCTTTCCCAACAACCCTAGGTGGTTAAGCATAAGTTTTCTCCATTTTGCAGAGAAAACCAATGCTCCATGTACTTAGGTGTCTTACACAAAGTCACACAGCCAGTAGGGTGCAAGGTTGGGTACCCAACCCAGTCCTCCTCATTCCTAGGCCAGTGCTATGTTCCCTAGGACCACCGTGTCTCCAGATGGACACGTCAGAAAAGAAGAGTGTGAAATGAGAGGGTAAGAAGAGCATCGATAAAGTGTCTTTTCTCTATAATAGAATAGCACAGAAAAATGGCCATGCCCTTCCAACGGCCTCTTCTTTCCCAGTCCTATGCCCTCCCTTCCTCTAGATAAAAAGAAAAAGTTCATTTATTTAGCATATACACACCTACATAATAATTAATAACTTCATGAATATTTTATGTGGAGTTTGTAATGAAGTGTAGTAACACATCAGGTCAATTCCACAGCTTCCCATCAAGAAGTTATTTTTCTTATACATGGTCCCTGCCCACCCACCCTCCACTCTGTCCCCCAGCCAACTGGCACTATTTACCTTGCTCTCCATGTTGTCTTCACTGCCAGAAAAGGTGAAAGTCTGCATGACATTTGCTCCCGCCCTCAAGAATTCCATGTGAAGCTGACGCACTACAGAGTAGTTGTTTTTTTAACTGAAATTAAAACATTAAAAATCACAGAAGCTGTCATTTGCAGCAGCAGCAGCTCACCCACACACACTTTTTTCAGTCATACACAATTTCAAACCTAGTACTTATAAAAAAAATTACAGATTAAGGTCAGTAAAATTCAAGGGCAGGACATGGCAGAGTCCATACCAAATCAGGGCTGTTCAGAGCAGCCTTATATCATCCTGCTGACGGGCCTCACCGCGGGGTGCAGTCTCGTGCAGACTGAAGCTCGGCTGGCCAGCTGCCTAGTTTCTTGGTCTAGAGAGGGCTCCTCAGTTTCCAGGGCCCTGAAGAATCCAGCGGGTCCACTTACAGTCGGCACTGGGAGCCCTCAGGGTAGACTGAGGGGAACTATGTTTCTTTCTTCCCCCTTCCCTCCAGCAGCAGAACCTGGCTGGCTGCTGTCTACACTGTTAAGCTGGTGGATACCATGAATCACTCTTACCAAACACAGTTATACTATAACATGCAAATTAGCTAGAAGGAGGGATCTGAGGCAATATCAGTTTTACTATGCTAAGGAAACTCTTGAATATCCACAAGGTAAATAATCATGAAACAAATATGAAGATGTATATCTTAGCACTCTCTATATAAAGATGCAGATGTGTGTACCTGGGGGAGGGGAGGAGAGAGAGAGTGCGAGCGTTTTCTTCTATCTGTTCAGGCCACGGACTGTCACTGTGTCCATATCTTGGCTGTTTGGACAAGAGAAATAGTCCTTAGAAACCATGCGCTATTATTTTTTTACACTCTTGGTCAGCTGTACTCTAAACGTCTCCCAGATAAACACTCTCGGGGTGCTGGCCCTGACCTGCGTCTGGATGCTCCACCACGGCCTCCGGCGTCCAGAGCCCCGCTTCACGTCGCCTCTCTTCTCAGGGTTATGAGGAAACCACCATCTCCAACCACAACCTCCCGCTGTCCAGACGGTCCAAGATCCCCTGCAGGAAAGAAAGAAAAATCACCTAAGGCCCTTCTTTTTCCCCCCTCCAAAAGCAGTTTCTCATTTTCGTCAAGGTAGCACGTTGCTCTCACAGCTCCGGCTGTGTTAAAACCCTCAGTGTCTAACAGTATTTCAGAAAGATTGAATATACTACCGTTTCTGGGACAGTCCAGGTACTCGTGTTGTGCAGAGTGCTGTGACTGTCGTTTCTCATATTTCATCTGAGTCAAAAGATAGTGGAAGTGGTGATTCTGTAATAGTTCTTTTCAACATGTTTGCGGCAGGCATTGCTACTCACCTAACTAATTTGCATTTTCCCTCCTCTTCTTTGCTAATGTATTTTTGTTTGGGGGAGACAATGTTTCCAACTTTAAGAAAATTCTCAGGGTGCCTTGCTGCTGGGGTGGCCATTTGGCAGGTGCTGACCAGTGACACACAGGTGGAAGTCAGCTGAAGATTTCCGGGAAAGTGTTGCCTTCCCGACACAGATGCCCACTCCCTCCCACCTTGACGCTCTGCCTTCCTGGCTGGAATGCCAACACAAGCCCTGGAGAGCAGCAGCCATCTAGCAGCCATGCCGTTGAAACCCACACTGAAGCCCACCCGCTCAGGCTGGTGCAGCAGGAGAGCAGCAGCCTGTGTCTTGACGACATCTTTGAGTAGCTGCAGCAGCCATGGACTATTAGACCTCTTAGTAGGTGAGAAAAATAAACCTCTTTTTTTGTGTAAACTACTGAACATGATCCTAATGCACACAACGTTTTAAAATTATGCCCTCCATGAAATCACTTGTTCTGGCCCTGCCAAGGCAACCGCAGGTGGGACTCAAAAATCAATAAATCTAGGAGCTTTTTTTCATAGCTAATTTTTAAGTTGACAATTTTGTATGGCCCCAGAATGATGCTATAGATATCCAAATGGCCCTCGGCAGAAAAAAGGTTCCCCACCCCTGACCTAAGGGTTATGGTTTCCATCGTCGAAAACATGCCTCCCTCAGATACCTGCATGGCTCCCCCTCTTACCTCCCTCAGGTCTTTGGTCAAGAGTCATCTTCTCAGAGACGCCTTCCCCGACTACCCTGTGACAACTGCAGACACCGCCATGGTGATCCCTCCCCCCCTTGTACAGGCTGCAGTCGTTGAGGATACAATGTTCTCGTGAAACTACAAGGCCAGCTCATGTCAGCCCTGCCAGCGCGGGACACGGAGCGATGCATAAATGGGGGAGATGTGCCCAGAAGGGTACATCAGCAAAGGCTGCCCTGGGGGCTAGGTAGCAGGCTGTCACGTCCACACCATGTCCATCTTCCCGGGAGGGAAGCAGGATGGGGCCCTGCTGTGTTAACCATAAACACTGCTGGACAGACAGAGCTCCTCACTCCAGGTGGTTTTCCATGTTTCATATCTAAAGATGAATTTTAGCTGAATGTGGAAGAAACGCTAATATTTACCATGATTCTCACCTATCTCTCTACTCCCTCCATAAAATACAATTTGCTCTTTTCGTTTTGTACTTTGAAACGTAAAAGGGGACTGACGCTTTAAACTTTCAGTGAGACCTTCCCACCGGCCAGGTACAGTTCTAGGCAAGCGGGGTAGACACTGGCACGAGACAAGGTCTGTGCCCTCAAGCTCTGCACTGCGCTGTCTGCTCGCTTAACCGGTCTCCTCTGCTCGGCTGCAAGATGCTTGAGGCTCAGGTGACGTCTCAGGTGCCTATCCCTACCACCTCCTACGGCACCTGACAAAGAGCCAGCCCTTAATAAACTCTGCAGAGTTCTCAGGCAGACAAGACTCTCTTGAAAAGGTCACGTGTCTTACGCTTGTTACAAGTTTGGTCCTGAGGAGAAAAAAAAAAAAAAAGGCTACTCTTTAACAGAAGATTAGCTAGGGTTTAAAGAAAATCATAGTACATATTTTGACTGTGTCTTCATGATACCTAATAAAAGACATTTCATCTGTTATCTAGATGGTTTGTCCAAAGTTTTAAATTTGCCAGTTTTCTAAACAGCCATTAGCAAAACAACTCGGTGGTTAAGATTTGCATTCGGAGCATCTTTAGCTGCTGTACCCAGCACCTCCGTACTGTACCAGCAAGACCTTAAGACAGCTCGAGCAGGAGAGGCGTGTAAAACACAGAGCACCAAAAACCACTGTGCAGCACGTTATATACTCGTTCCGTTCTCCCTTTCAGCTGGGCAGCCAATCTGCCTGGGACATAGTTAAGCCCCCTTNCATTCGGAGCATCTTTAGCACCCCCTTCACTGCTGTACCCAGCACCTCCGTACTGTACCAGCAAGACCTTAAGACAGCTTGAGCAGGAGAGGCGTGTAAAACACAGAGCACCAAAAACCACTGTGCAGCACGTTATATACTCGTTCCGTTCTCCCTTTCAGCTGGGCAGCCAATCTGCCTGGGACATAGTTAAGCCCCCTTTATGCAGATGCCAGTATCTGACCCTCTGGCTTCAGGGCGCCTCTATTCATGCACAAAGGAGTCCACCAACTTCACCCTGTGCAGGAGGCAGCCAGAGACCCAATCTGCCTACAGTGTTGCCCCATATGCCTGAAAACTGCCACTGGGCCTGCTCTTTTAAAGATACAATCCGAGGTAGCCTCTGTGGCAAATAAACCCTTAAAATGTACCTGATAGCTGAGGAGAGAGGTGAGATTAACTCCTTCCCACTAGCATTTTAATTTTAACTCCCAGGGACACATTAACGTGGATTAGTACATCATAAGCTTGGTGTTGCAAGGGCAGAGGCCAGGAAGAGACCGGACAGAGACGGCGTATTTTCAAAACCTTAAAAAAATGCACTGTGAAAGTGAACACCGAACGAAAGGAAGTTGAGAGAAAGAAATCAGCACGATGTTCTTTGCTTCTTTATGCTTTTATGACACCCATTTTCTTCAATGCCCATATTTTACTTTTATAACCAGAAAAACATGTCCAAAATGTTTTTCAGTTTTTAAAACCCATATTCCTCCTCTTAGGCGACCAGGGCCATTCGCGTGCCCTTCCTTGGGCTGTGTATTTCTATAGATGTAGCTGGGGCCAGTCCCTGATATCTGTCCTTTTGTAAATTAACTTTGCGAAGCACTGTGCCCGCCCCCGCACTGGCTCCTTCAGGGCCGCCCGACTCGTTCAGTGGGTGAACCGTCATTTGTTCAGGGAGCCGGGGCTGTGCGGCGGCCTGACCGCTCCTCACGTTTCAGTGTCAGTCGGTGGCGCACACTTGCACGCCCGTGTCACCCCGTTCTTCCCCACGGTCTTTTACGAATTTCGGGGCCCAGGTGGTTGCTTTGAGGAGCCCTGGACATGCCCCGCATCCAAGTCCATGGTCTTCCCAACTTAATCTTGTCACCCCCTCTTCCCACCACACCCGCCCGGTGTAGAAATGCGCGAAAAAGCCCACGGCTGGCGACCAGACGGGGAAAGAGGCCAAGAGAAAGCGCCGGAGACGGGCTGCCGGTGGCGGGAGGCGGGGGTCCCCACGCACCCCCCCCCCA